GGGGAAGGGGGGGAGGGACTAGGTTTCTCTGTCTCTCACTCTATATTGGACTTACCATACGAGATGTTTCCCATTAGGCATAGCCCGGACAGCACTGACAGGGCCACTGACGCTAGGAAACCTGAATGTCCGTCTTGGCTCTCGCAGACTCTTGTGAAGGCTGTATTCGTCTACGGTACTGTTTCTCCTGCATGCGTAGATGAAGTTGCCGTCGGGCGACCAGCAGGCATTCATGCACCATGGGGGTGTGTTGCGCGGTGGCGTGATACGTGCGACGGGGTTCGGCTGCCGTCTGTCCCAAATGCGCAGTGTGCCATCCATGGATGCATCTACAAAGGTTGTCTCGGACGATGCCGGCTGCACAGTCTGGTTTGCTGATGTGTTAATGGGTTGCTCAATATCCTCTGCATGAGGTAGTCCATTGGCTGCGCCATTTGACTGTGAGTCGGCTGTGCCATTTGCGTCCGGCATTGCTTCAGTCACTGTGGTAGGCTCTTTTACATCTTCACCTGTAGGCTCCTGGGGCTCTTGGACAGGGCCGCCCATGTCCACCAAATCTAGATCGGCATTGACATCCTCATCTGCCTGCTGTATGCCGTTTGCTATGGCTCTTGAAAACTCGTCATCATCGTCCCCGAATGAAGGCAGAGTTGCTGATAGGTTGTTCTCTTGGCCACCGTCGCCAAATAGAGAGTCTTGGTCCTTGTCTCCGAACAGCGAGTCATCTGGAGAGCCTTGAGCATCTTCGGTACCTTCCTCCTTGGGTATTATGGGCTTTGTGTCGATGCCATTGGGGATGGTTCCGTTTGCTCTGGGGCGGGCGGCATTATTTGAGGAAAAGGTACCATTGGCCAGAGGGAGGGTTTCAGTGTCTTGGGGTATGGGCAGTGTAGACATTGGCCGCTGTTCAATAGCGGATATTTGACCGCCACTGGTTTCGAATCTCCTCTTGACTTGGCCAGTGTTCAAATCCCAGTCGTTAATGGTCTTATCCCAGCTGCCACTAAGCACCGACGTCTCATCCTGTGATAATGTCAAGACTGACACAGCCGATGTATGGTTCTTCAATGTATGAATGCGGGTTCCCTCTTGGTGCCGCACCGATTGTAGGTTGATACCTCCCGAGTCCAGGCCCGAGAGCAGCCAGAGGGCCTGGTGGTGGACTGCGAGTGAGTAGACTGGCGACAGACTCTCAGCGCCGGTTGCGCTGTCCTCGTTTTCCCAGTAAGATAACAGGACACCTGCTTTGGTGACAGAGTCCACAAATGGATGCCGCTGCGCTACGGTGAGAGCAAGCTTCCCGTTGGCGGTGTCTACCCAGTTGAATTTCCTGATATAACCGTCTGAGCCTCCAGTGAAGACCCATCGCATGTCGGGTGTTGCAGTAATAGCGTTGATAGAGGTACTGTGTGGCGCGGCAATGGTAGGGATGATGTCGTACATGGGTGTGTTCAAGGCTTCCTGTCGCACGCTGGGGCGGAAGGGCAGGTTGCCCAGAACACCTGTTGCTGCTGCAGCATGTGGACTCGGCGATGTGAAAGTCACTGCTGGATTGCCATCTCCTCTGCCAGGTGTTCCGCCATTTGGGATGCTGCCGCGCGGATGTTGCGAAGGACTGTCTGGCTCGTCTTGATCTTGATCTTGGTCCTGGTCCTGGTCTTGGTCTTCGTCGTCATTGTCATTATCTCCTTCGGCGTCGTCATCGTCGCCGTCGCCGTCGCCGTCGTCTGCATCATCTGCATCGTCCTCCTCATCTACGTCCATGACATCGCCGTCGTCCTGCTCATCCTCGTCCTCGGCGGAGCCTGCGCGCGCGGTCAGCTAAACAGCTCTGCCCAGTGCATGGTGGTGTACTTGCTGGCGCCATTCTCATAGTCATCCTCGTCGTTCATTCTGTGTCCATGAGCACAGCCCTTGCTTACTCTTAATCAACCTGGACACCGTGTGGTGGTCGCACTTGTAATGCGCCTGACGTTCGCGTTGAGGAACATGGATGAGGCTCCGCGCGTCATGTAGCCGGCCCGCGCGTGCGCCACACCATTCCGCATCTGACCCAGGGCAGCCACACTTGATTTCAAGACTGCGTGATCGGCTTATGTAAATTTGTATCCAATAAATGTGCCAATAATAATATCATTGCGTATGATGCTGCGTCTACAAGAAAATGTCTTTGGAGTAGCAGCAGTGGTCAGCGAACCGTTGAAGATACAGTTAGACTTTAGACTGATCTTCGACGTCCTATCAGGCCCTTCCTAGACCAGAGGAGCTCTAATAACGTATGTTGAGTATATGGCTTCTATGTAAACTCAAGGGTTTGTCTTAGTCTTAGCTATGCTAGTATACTTAATTCTATCTACTGAACACGTCATACATTATCTAGTACACATGCTCAGTATGCTATGAACGAGATGCTTCTTGAAGGTAGAGTTTATTGCTCAAGTACGACTATATACTCAGGAATGTAGTTGCTCACTACTAAGCCCATCATAAGTGGTCGTTATCTAGCGCTCGTGATCGATCGGCCACGTGACCGCAGTGCATTCGTGGTTCGTTGTTGGCTCCGGGCCTACTTTTGACCGCTGTTGTAGTCCACCAGGGGCGCGGTCGGGCATCTGCATACAATGGTGGGGAAGGGGTGGGGGGCATGTGGCTTGGCCCATGCTCCAACTTCAGCGCTGAATCAGAAACGTACACGATACAATAAGAGCATCGAATATCGAATCTGGAATCCCCACGATAATATAGAATATTCTGGGTGGATTAGGCAGACTCAACCAACTCACATCCCTCATTGTAGCCACCTTACAGCTTGGGTAGCAAGTGCTGTTGCCTTCGCGCACTGAAAATACGTGGCCATACTCTAGTAGTACCTACTTAAACCTATATCATCCTTCATCGTTACTCTCGTCGCAAAATGTTCAACCGAGATCGAGTACCTGGTCTTCCTGGAAGCTCTCCACGACCTCCACCGCGCAACGAAGGCTACGGACAGCCACAACAACCCCCACAACAGCAGCCACCACGTAACTACGACCCCAGAATGGCTGGATACGGTGGCGCCCCTCCGCCCGCTACTCAACGTATGCCTGTGCCTGCGAGGCAAGGCGGCGGCGGCGGACCTGTGAGGCAATTGCGCCCAATCAAAAGCCCAGGAGGCAACGCTTATGCCTTTGGCAATCTGTATGTATACTGAGGGAGGGTTCAACTTTTATATGCCGCATCCTAACAGATATACAGGGTCGCAGTGTCCCCTCAAGACTTCCAACCAAACCCCGACGGCTCCGATATCTACATCCTCGTCAACGGCAACTTTGCCCTCTCTGCACGACCTACACAAGGATGCTCGCCGGGCGAAATTGGTCTTACCGACGCACAAAGAACATGGGCCGGCATATCTCTTGGTCCTCAGGAGGTAGTTACGGTGGCGCAGTATGACCACTTCAGTCAAAGTCAAGGAAAATCATATTTGGGGTCGCTCGAGGTCGAAGTCGGATTCGCGGCAAGAAAGATGACAGATACACCTTATGATCAAGACGAGCTCGCCACGTTTTTCAAGAAGAGCTTCGAGAACCAAATCCTAGCGCCTGGCCAACAACTGCTTCTCGATGTAAAAAACATACCCCTCAGATTATCTGTCCGGACGGTACAGCTTGCAGATTTATCCATGGAGAAGGAGGAGACTGATATGCCCCCCATCACTGATCCACGAGCTCGCGGTATCCTTACAAGACACACTCAGGTCGACTTTTTCAAGGATGCTCGGTCAGAGCTCAAAATCAAAGCGTCGGCGAAGCGCGCAGCAGCAAACTCCATCATTCAGCCAGGTTTCAAGTTCGAGGATATGGGCATTGGTGGACTGGATACTGAGTTCAGTGCCATTTTCCGAAGAGCTTTTGCTTCCCGCATCTTCCCTCCTAATGTCGTGGAGAGGCTAGGTATCAACCATGTGCGTGGTTTGCTATTGTATGGCCCTCCTGGAACGGGTAAAACCCTGATGGCGAGGCAAATTGGAAAGATGCTCAATGCTCGTGAGCCCAAGGTCATCAACGGTCCCGAAGTTTTGAACAAGTATGTCGGAGCGTCCGAAGAGAATATCCGGAAAATGTTCGCAGATGCAGAGAAAGAACAAAAGGAAAAGGGCGACGAGAGTGGACTTCACATCATCATTTTCGACGAACTCGATGCTGTTTGCAAGCAGAGAGGGTCTGGTGGTGGCGGTGGCACCGGCGTGGGTGATAGTGTCGTCAACCAACTGCTGTCCAAGTTGGATGGTGTGGAGCAATTGAACAACATTCTTCTCATCGGTATGACGAACCGAATGGACATGATTGATGAGGCTCTCTTGCGCCCTGGTCGTCTCGAGGTCCATTTGGAGATTTCGTTGCCTGATGAATCGGGCCGCGCCCAGATCCTGAAGATTCACACCACCAAGATGCGAAAGAACAACGTCTTGGAATCGGACGTTGACGTTGAAGAGTTAGCAAAACTTACCAAGAACTTTTCCGGAGCGGAGCTGAATGGTCTGGTCAAGGCAGCAACATCGTATGCCTTTGGTCGTCATCTTCAGGGTGGTACTACAGTCAAGGCGGATGTTGAGAATATGAGGGTCATGCGTCAGGACTTCATAACCGCACTTGACGACGTGAAGCCGTTGTTTGGTGTTGCCGAAGAAGAACTCGGCAAACGAGTGATGCGCGGCATCATCCACTTTTCGCCCTTCATCAGGGATATCTTGGAAGATGGGCGTCTGTACATCAATCAAGTCAGAAATTCGGCGTCTACCCCATTGCTACCTGTCCTTTTGCACGGGCCGCCTGGCTCTGGAAAGACTGCATTGGCTGCCAAGATGGCAATGGATTCGGGCTACCCCTTTATCAAACTGATTTCGGCTGAAGACATGATTGGTTATAGCGAGTCGCAAAAAGTACAGCATCTTGATAAGACATTCAGGGATGCCTACAAGAGTCCGTTGAGTATCATAGTTCTCGATTCCATTGAGTCGATGCTTGAATGGGTACCGATTGGTCCTAGGTTTAGCAACACTGTTTTGTCTGCGTTGAAGGTGCTTCTTGGCAAGGTGCCACCAAAGGTAAGTCGCTGCAAAAGGTGAAATGTAAGCAACCAAGCTAACAACTTCAGAATCGCCGCTTGCTAGTGTTTGCCACCACAACTCAACGTTCAGTGCTTGTTCAGCTTGAGCTTTTTGCTCGCTTCAAAGCTGATATTGCTGTGCCCAACGTCAACACTCAAGGCGAACTCGCAAATGTTCTCAGTGAATCCGGCGCCTTCTCAGAGTCAGACCAGCGACGTGCTATCAGTGAGATTGAGGAGATTACTGGAAGCAAGGAGATCGGGGTGGGCATTGACAACATCCTTAGTGGTATCGAAACTGCGAAGCAGGATCAGGATGTCCCTGGCCGATTCGCCCGATACATGTCAAGTGCGATTGCGGCGAACAAGGCTTTTTAGTTGGATCGCAGCCACATGGAGAGGGCTAAACAATGCTTTCGGGTTGTTTCATGCGTAGCATTTACATTTAGCATGTTGTGGCACGATACGTGATTGAGCTCAATAGATCAAGGGGCGACCCGCAATCAAGCTGGTAGAGCAAAGCTGAAATCCAATCGCTGCCAAGAAATTAATAGAAGAAGGTGGCTATCTATATACGAAAGGAAATCACAATACATATCCGCAGTCTGATGACGTGATACTACACCACAATGTATACCCGCGGTCAAACATGGTACGTCTTGTCGCGGCCATCCATGGCACGTTTGGTCGTAGCCATCTATAAACGGTAGAGCTAGGCTAGTTCATATTCGTAGAGCCCATAGATTTCATGTCAAACATTACCTGACAGCCAAAATCGCCATACTCACCTAGTCCCCCTTCAATTTTCGTCCACTGCACCCGAAAGAACCCCCGAAATTGTACAATATTGCACTACCTACATACCCCCCTACACCCACCCACCTCACCCGGTCCCACCCCTTCCTCTTGTTACCGTTCGTTCCCGAAAAAGCCGAGTTCCGTCACTGTCAGGCCATTTTTCGATAACCTCACATCTGACATGCGGTTCCCCTTGACCCCTGAGGGTTTTCCATGTCGTACTACATACGAGATACACTACTACACATCATCCTCTCTTTATCCCTCTTATTTCGAACAACAAAGCTTCACAACTCTTCTTCTATCCCTTTATACCTCTCCCATCAAGTTCTGTAAACTCAGCTCACAAGGTACAATAGTAGGGTTACAAAAGGGGGCCCTTCTTCGCCCCACCTACACTTTTTAAGGCTTCACCCCAGAAAAGAAATGCTGACGTCGTACTTGGGCCGCTTTGCTTCCGCTGCCTGGTTACAAGTAGCTCACTCTTCGCCACCCCTTGCTTTGTGTTTAGTGAGAGAAAAACAAAGGGGGGAGTAAGGGAAAATGTGGCAAGGGTTTAACCATGGAAATTATGTACATAGGCGAAGAAGTACGGCGTGTAGTGGTGTTGGGAAGGCTCGGAAGGGGGGTATCGTGAGGGAAGGATACTTCACAGCATTGCCCCCCCACCCCCCTCTTGTGCTCGCTATGAAGAGGAAGGGTGTAGAGGGGTTGATTTTTTCTTCTTCATGGAACATGTTTGATATTCTGTTCTGGAAAATATAGTCAAGATTTGACTTTCAAGCTTTCATACATCTCCACTAGAGTTTGCCTTGGTTGTTGTTGGGGGTGGGGGAGAGTGTCGGGCTTGATAATCTCCGAGGTGGTACCCGGTCTTCTTGACGTTTATTTTCCTTTTCGTGTATGCAGGTATAAACGTGGGGGGTTGCGGGTTCTATTGGTAGGGCAGGTGCCGGGTTTGACTGTGTGTGTGGGGGGGTGGTCATGGCACGAATTGCTTGTGCATGCATGCGTGGGCATGTTGCATATCCAGCCCCTCGGGGGGTTGACGACTACGTACATATGTACATATACGACCCTCATCACTTTCTCAAAGCAGAATATACTATAACAGTGCGTCTCATTCAGTCACGCTACGACTGGAATGGAATGGTATGTCGCTCCACATGTCTTAGGTAGACTGATTGCCCCACAGGAAAGGGCTTCCTATATTCATCACATGAGCTGTTACATCAACGATTTGACTAAGATTCAAAAACTACAGAGGCCGTATCAAGGAACACCCCCGTGGCTATTCACCCCAGTGTTAACCAAAAAGTCCCGATATCATCATGACGCCAACCTAAACACAACCGGTCCCCAGCCCAAGAAGACAAAGGAATATGAAACAGGCGCTTTCCCGCCACCCAGAAACCGCCTGGATGGATCGAGGCGCTATTTTTCAGCTCTAAGCGAATGAGCAAGCTCACCAGCTCCCCCTCTGCACCTAGCGAAGCGACCGTCCTCTAGGAGATACGTCAGCTACCCGCCCCGTTCCTGATCCAAACGCCATCCAAAAGCCGCGATTCGTTCGCTAGCTGTCAGCAGGCGCGTAGCACTTGCATCAGGCAACGGGCCGAACCGCGTCACAATTCCTGAAAAAGAAAAGCTGGTGTGTGGGACGCTAAAAGCAGCGAGGCCGGCTGCCGAGGGTGGAGCACAGTGGAGCGGAAATTGGGAACGACAGGTCGCAACGTCGAGCTTGTTCCTGGAATTCGAACATCGCGAAAAAGGTGTTTGAACATTTTTTGAAAATAGAGAAAACCGATAAAGCGCTGGGGAATAGTAAAGTGACCGAATGCCGCCCATAGTTTGGAAAAACCGAAAATCGTATATTGGTGTCATCCACAGTTCGGTAAGAGAAATTTGAAAGGTGTCGAATTGATTTAGAAGTCGACTGGTGCCGGATACCGGCTTTGTGCGGTGCGGAACTGCTCTGGGTACTTGCGTGCTGCTCGGTTGTTCAGTGAGCTGTCGGAGATGTTAGTTCGGCGATTGAAGTTGGCTGTCAGTGTAAACCTACTCGACTCGCTTCTGAGTCCACTGCAAATCTTTCTGTACATCCTTCGCAGCCTTCATTCCGTCTGCAAAGCTCATGCGAGCACCAGCCAATCTGCGTTGAGCCAGTGCTTGTAGCTCAGAAAGCTCGCGCTGCTTAGCATTCAGTTCACCGGACCTGCGTACAATGTCAGTTACACGACTTTAGGCGCAGTCGGGTGATTCAGAATTCACCGATAGAAAGAAACTTACGTTTGTGCTTGCTTTGCAAGACTGCGATCTAGTGGCATTGGATCGAAGGAGCCGTTCACACGACGACCCATATAATCGAGGAGATCCACGCTGGCGGCGCCGCTAGTGGATTCATAATCGCTTGCACTGCCAGCATAGTTGCTAGAGGTGGATGACGGCTCGTACGACGGTACACCAGATGTCGTAACGCTGTTTGCAGCCTCGGGTGGTGATCCTGACACGCGTCCATAACCATGTTGTTGAGCCGGGAAGAAAAATCCGGGCTTTTGTGGCATGTTGATTGGGTAGGATGCTTGAGGAAGACTGTAGAAGGAGTGTGAAGAGGCCATTTTGGATAATACTATATTCCTCTGTATGCTGGAATGGTGTGTAGAGTAGTGTATTGGCGAAGAGTGCAAGCGGTTAGATAGTGTTGGGGTTTGGTCAAGGTGTCGGAGTGGGAAGCCAAGACAGTGATCCGGATGTGACAAAGGTATAACGATATCCCCAGAAAAGTGAATAGAGAATCAGAAAGATCAGACCAAATTCCAGCAAAACGAGCCCTTTTTATACCTTTCCATTGCAGGCATGCTAGGAGCATCATGGTCAACGGGGCATGGCTCTGACCCCTTCATGCCGAGTGACGGCCGCAACCCCGCCGTTATGGTGATAAAGCTGCATAGGATTACATCCACTGAGAACGGTTCCCGCTGGTGCCGGATTGTAAAGCGTCATTTAGACTGGGCTGGACGGTGGCTCTTGGACGTGGGCCGCAGCCGATCCACGATACCTCGGGGCGATAGTGAATGCTTGAGATGCCAATTGGCCCGTACATGGAACTAGTGACAAGTGGCCTCAGCTCCAACCGGCACAAAAGAGTCGGGGAGCGAATTGGCTTGCAATGGCAAAAAGTTGCGATTCTGGAGGCAGTGCCGTCTATGGCCGGCACCAAGGCATTGCTAAAGGCAGCGGGGCAGAGTAAGCGCAGCAGACGCAGACGCAGACGCCATGTAAAAGCAGCGGCGGTGGAGAAGTGTACATGCATGGGTAGGCTGCCGGACGGGCATGCTAAGTGTTGTCAAATTGATGCGCTGGCTCGACAGCTGCCAGCGCCATTGAGCATGCAATCTGGAGGGGGGATGCAAAGGATCAGACAGCGCATGACACCAGTGGCGGCATGCGCCCAAAGAAGCTTGATGAGACGATTGCGCGTATGAACATGGCGGGCAATTGGTAAAAGGGCGTGTACCGGACGACGAGATCGTTTTTTTTCGTGTAGTCATGGTCATGGAAGGTCGTGGAGAAGGATGCGGGACTAGCAAAGCCCCGCCGAACTAACAGTCCGCCCCTCGGTGGTGCGGTGCGTCATGCTTGCGAGCAGCAACCCAACCCGGCCAATGCACCTTGCTGCACCTCCACCTTGGCGCTCCAATGCCTCGAGCCCTTGGGCACCATGTCTGCTCTGCGTAACCTCGTACTGCTTCTCACACGAACATTCCCCAGACGTTCCCATGCTGCAAGTCAACTGCTCTCCAAGCACGGCAATAAGTGGCGGTGAGGAATCCCATCTAGCTCGTCGCTCTTCCCAGGACCACCGGCTTTGGCATGCATGCCATGTCCTTGTACATAGTACTATCCGAGCCCTTTGTCCATGGAAGGCGTTACACTGGTGCTTCAACGGCGCGGAACAAGCCAATCGTATGACACGGCTGTCAATGCCGTCCATGTGAGTTGCGCATGGCAGCTACTTTTAGGTCACCCTTGTGCCCCTCGCTCCAGCGTCTGCCTTACATGAACACTTACCCGGGGGCCGAGAACCTGAATTTGACTCAACCAAGAGCTTGAGTCCGGTCTGATCGAGTGTGCTTCTAGATTGAGTGTGCAACACTTTGCGCGGCACCAGGCAGCAACATCTCTCACTTCCTACTGCCGTCTGATTGAATTTTGGGTTCCACAAACTCTAGGTGCAGGTTGTATCAATCACACATGTACGATTTGTTCGGACGTTCTGACGGCGCTGATTGTGCTCTCCAATTGCTCGTCAGCGAGTGGTGTCGGACAGGAAATACTAGTGGCAATGTCTTCCCAATGATTGCGACTTGTAGCTCTCAGCGACCACTGCCGGATCGGATCGATATACTATTCGACAGCTCTTGAATTACACAACTACTTGTTTGGTCGATTTGCCGATGAGCTAATGCCAATCAGTTCTCGACAATGTCTTTCAACTATTTCGTACATTACAAATGATTTCAACTTTTTTCAGCCTAACAAAACACGGCCATAACTCGCACTGCCCTGATGGATGTGCGACATACACTAGTCTTGACACAAGCGCAGTAATCTGAATACGTCGATGTGCGCAAGCACCCATGAAGCACCGTCTTTTGGTCGCTTTTAGCTCCTAGTGGCTATACAACAATATTCGGTAGAACACCATGGCAAATTCAATATCTTCAATAAGATACCACAAATCTATGGTGCAATCTTGCCAGCGATCTGATTTGTCAAGTAATTTGACATTCTGTGTGTACATATCAGTAACCACCAATATTGTTCAAAGTCTGCAAACTTACATCATCCACTGTTGCCTTTTCCGAGCTTGGCCCAAGGGTCCTCAACGAAGCTTGGGAGAAAATAGGCCGTGTCCCCGTTCTCGTTCTGAACTCCATTACGAAGCGCATTTAGTTCTGCTCTCGAAACGGGAGGTCCACCAAACGACATAGTTTCCATTGCAGACTGATCGTTCGGAGCAGGGCCATTCGCAGCGCCAAGGGGAATTTCCGGAAGGGTTTGGCCACGTGCTAGGAAGCTGGCAAGACCAGAATCTGTTACCGGGGCCTTCTTTGACTCGGAGGCTTCAGGCTCATTTGCTTCTCCGCTGGCGACTTTCTTCGTTCTAACCCCGAGTTTGGTGGAGTTTGCACCGCTTGCATCGGCTTTTGCCTTTGGTGAGTTTTCATGGTCGAATTTTCGCTTTTTGGTTCCCCCAAACGAGGAGAAGCCCATAGCTGCAGCTATGTCGATGTCCTCTTCTTCGTCCATGACAGAGTGTGAGTCGACTGGGTTAGGCTTCTGCTTGAGGAGTATATTTCCTAGAGACAAAAGTATAAAAGGTCATACGAAGTTAGGTAAGAGGGCGCTAGTGAAGGGTACCTGCGCCAATCGGAGCGGGAGTGTCTCCTACAGTGGGCCCCCTTGGGTTGGCAGCTCTTAAACAGTATCCGCCTGAGTGGAATGGTAGCGCACTATCACTATGGAGACATGACCCTCAGCGGGCATCTCACCACGTCATGCCACGAGCAGAGGTCGTGCGCAGATGTACATGGACAAGCACGCGCGTAGCTCTGGCGGCCTTAGCGCCAGCGTCATCGCATCTGCGCATCGGCAGGGTTCACCACCAACAACGCTTGCAACGCCTGCACAGCGCCAGATTCCATGCTGCTTCTCGCCATACTCTAGTCCTTCAAACGGGCTCTAGGACACGCCATGCTCAC